CTCGGACTGGAGCCACAGGTGGTTTCTGGAGGCCACCAAACGGCCTGGTGGTAGGATTCCCTCAAGCTGTCCTACTTCTTCTGTGGAAATGGGGTTCAGTGTGGTATTTCAACTCTCTTTGTCTGAGTGCTGACAGACAAACTGCTTCACAGATTTCGTAACTTCAGGAAACATCAACAGGGAAAGGGATGAAGAAACACACAGCCACATCAACCATGTCAAGGATCAAGAGGGATGGATGGCCTGAAGGCCAGCTCAGAATGTTTTGCTGCCTTTTCACGACACCCACAGTCTGTTGAGGGGGGCTATTGCTTCACTCTGCCTGACTAGTCTTTGCCACAACAAGTAACAGAGGGAGGTTCCCCATACAACACTGAAAAAGCTTAAAATGATCTCTCTTGAAATGGCTGAGTTTTCTCAAGAAATGGTCCAAGCCCAATGGGAGATAAAGAATCTGCATTTTCTGTTAAACCCCTGCCTCCCCTTCCAACTTTGCAACATGACAAAACAAGGCTCTTTGCTCAAGAGTTAAACAAGGAGTTGCTTCTGCTCCATGCAACATATTGAGTCATACGGAGCACTGCTTATGAGTAATATTAACAGCTTAATGAGCTGTTAATGAGGCACTCAGTCAGCTGCTTCAGCGTACAGTATGAAACCGGCACAAATTATCTCCCTGTATTTTCTGCCTTCCCAGCAGAGAATTAAGGGTGGCAGATAAACCTATCCTGCATATGTCTCAATCTGGACATTATTTCTCAGCAAATAGTTTAAAGAATCTATTCTGTGTTTGCAAGAACAAATTGGTCTTAGTGTAGAAAGTGGAATTTTTAAAACATTACTATTCTCCACTTTAGCTAGTCCCTTTTCTAATGGATTCTAGTTCAGATTCAGAGACCCGCAAAAGCTGCAGTAGAATGAAGCCATGGACCATCTCACCACAATTATGGCATCATAGGCAGAACCATAGCTTCTGTGTTGTCTATTTGAATGCCTGGAACTTTTATTTCTTTCTTTCAAATGGATAACAGATAGGAAAGATTATGCCTATATAGGCACAGTAAGGTAAACGTAAAGGTTCCTCTTGACATTTCATCCCATCGTGTCCAACTCTAGAGTGCGGTGCTCATCCCCATTTCCAAGCCACAGAGCCAGCATTTGTCCGAAGATAGTTTCCGTGGTCACGTGGCCAGCATGACTAGACATGGAATGCCTGTTTACCTTCCCACCAAAGTGGTACCTATTTATCTACTCGCATTTTATATGCTTTCGAATGGCTAGGTTGGCACGAGCTGGGACAAGCGACAGGGGCTCACACCGTTGTGTGGATTCGATCTTACGATGGCTGGTCTTCCGACCTTGCAGCCCAGAGGCTTCTGCAGTTTAACCCACAGCACTACCACAGTAGAGCACAGTACCAAAACATAAAGAAAAGATGTTCTAACATATACTAAGGCACAACAACTTTGCATATATATTCCTGTGTTTTGAATTTAGCAACCATCTGGAGAAGGTTGCTCTTTTTCTTGTGTACTCATGAAGCTGAAATTGTGTGCGCAGATAAGTATGAATTCCTTTCACATGCATGACTTTTGTAATGATGGCAGCACTGGCTTTTGCGCAGAATTCAGAGCCTTTTTCTGGCAACAAGTGAAGCAAAAGAAACTGCACGTCGGCAAGGGGGTGCCCTCTACTTCCACACTTGCTTTCCAAAGATTTGAGTGGCTCGTTTGTCGGACTGCAGCCAAGGATCCTTGCTGAGCCAAATGGGAGAGACAGAAGGAGTCGGCCCTCACAGACGGAATCATGGCATCTTCGGTAAATGCCCCAATTGGTTTCTAGAATTCCCACCCTATTCTTCAGGCTTCCTCCAAGAACTTTTTTTTTTTTAAAAAAAGGCCAGGAATCACAGAAAAACAGGATCTAGAGGACCTGCACACAGAGGTCCCTTGGCAGATTGAGAGGAAAGCATTGCAGCATACAAAGCAAAGATCGCAAAAAGCTTCCAACTGGTTAAACAGACCTGGTGTTTTTCCCAGACTTGGTTTCCATCTTTACACTTTCGCTTTCAGCCAGAAATTTTGTTTACTTTCTGTCTCAGTGGGTAGCCTGTGCCCTCAGAGCACCTTCCTGCCTGTTCTTCGCCTGCCTATAAAAACCTGGACGCTGCTTCTGAAATATGGGGGCCGTTCCTCCAGCTACAGCTGTCAGAAAAGCAGAGCCTTCTGAGACCTGCAGGCAATGTTTCTAACACAAGTGGGAAAACAGCTGATGGGAAATAATAGCTTCAGTCCCTCCTGGGGGGCCTGTGCAGTTGGCGACAGCAAGGAGGAGGCGATGGGAAATAATTACCATTAACAGTAGGACAATTTGGGGCTCATTCAAAATAGGACAGAAGAAGAAGATTCAGGTCCCAGGCAGGGGACCCAAACCAGCTGTCCCTCCACCATGCAACTTCTGCCTGCCTTCCCTCGTGAAGCCCATGCAGGTCTCCCTTGCCCAGATAGGTTGTCGGCTTCGTCCAAAGAAAGCAGGACAGTCAGTGGCAGAGATTGGAAAAGGAGCCTGGTTCTTCTCGGGGCTGCTGCCTTCCAGAGCTCCTTCTCAAGAAGGGGGTGATTATCAAAGCTCATTATATTTGCTTTTTAGAAATTTAAAGGGGGGGGGAGCAGGTGGAAAGGGACCGAAGCAGACACATTTCCCTGCTCCTGTGAAGTGTGAAGGTTGTCAGTCTCGCTGTCAATTATAGTGATACATGTCATTCCCGCTGTCTCCTTCAAACCAGGGGATTTATCACTTTTTTTTAAAAAAAAGGTTATTATTTCGCTGCATGTTTTACCTCTTTCTTTCACTTTACACAAACATTATTCATTCGGTAATCCACTGTATTTCCAGAAAAGGCTACACAGAACCAGCAGAGTGGGGGAGTCGATCAGTGTTAGAGGATGCGCTGACACTTCCTCTTATTCACCTTCCCAAATAAGAGGTGAACTCCAGGTCTGTGGATTCTGGTGTGTGTGCGTGTGTGCGTGTGTATGTAGTGTCGCAGTCTGGCAGTGACACAGTGACACACCTGGAAAGCCAGGGGCTCCCTCTCACCCAAGAAAAGGCTGCCTCTGGAAACCGAGGCGTGAGAATCCCAAGGAACACACTGGTAACCCAAGAGGTCACTGAGTGCCCAACACTTTTGCGATCAACCCTGCAGCCCAAGAAGCTGAGGTGTGCAAAGGACTGAGCCCTTAAGGAGAACAAACAGGGGCCACCAAAGACGATGGTACAACTGGCTCCCTTCGGAATCCCTGGGAGGTTTTTAATGGCCCTGCTGCTTGCTCCTCAAAGTAAAGAGGCAAAACGTTGAATGTGAGTAGCATCTTAGAGAGCCCCATAGCTTTTAGACCAATCATAAAGTCTGAAGAGCTTTACTCCTCATCCCCCTTTGACCCCTCTCTGGCAGGAGGGCTTATCGGTCGCCTCTCTGCTGTGTGGCAGCCCCAGCCATAGAATGGTCAGAGGCCTCTCAGTCCAAGCAATCTGCTCCTCAGAGGAACTGCTAAATAGATACCTTAGGGGTATGGCATGGGTTGCCTCTCGTCCTTGACTATCAGCTCTGGAATTTGGCTATTAAGCCACATTATCAGTCTTTGATCTTCTTGATCTTCATGAAGCTTACAGATCAAGTAGATCGCTGCTTGCTATATGTAGAATTATATCTACATTTTATTTCATTTTCCTTTCCCCCCCTTCTTCTTTTTCTCTTTCACAAGTGGGTGATAGACCAGAAGGAGAATAATATACTAATGACACTGCAGTAGTAAGAACCACCTCAGAGCACAGCTTTTCTGATAAATTTATGAAGTTGTAGTGAAAGATAACAGAAGATTACAGCAATGTTTGAAATGAAAAGGTCAGGAAGAGCTAATAGCTTGTCCAAGACCCAAGACATCATGAATTTAATGAAACGGTAATGAAAATAATTCTAGAATTTGAAATGAAACCTTTGCATGTTAAATATGAAATAAGAGGGTAACTGCAGTGAAGGAAAATTGAGTTGTACTAACTGGGAGCAGAGGTCAAATCTAACTCAGCGCCCCTTCTTCAACAGGGAAAGGCTGAGTGTAGAGCAAGGCAATGACACAGGAGCCCATACCCAGAAACCTCACTAACATGCTGAAATTAAGAGTTGCATCAGCTTTCACAACAGACCACCCACATTGGACTCAGCTGTCCAGGAGGGGGTCAGTGGCCAAAGGCATGGGGTGTTGTTCCCTGCCTGATGGGGACTGCAAAAATCAAGGACTTGGCCAAGCAAGAAACTGAAGTTCGTTTTTGCAACCACAAGAATTGCGCTTTTATAACAACATGAAAAATGACACTGCAAAACCTGAACACCATACCCTGCCCTTCATTCTGTGCTTCCTTTGTGCAGCCTTAAATCACAGCTTGGAGAAATCAATTGGGATTACAGTTCCCAGAATCCATCAATCAGCATGACTAGGGGCATTTTGGGAGCTATCGTAAAAAAAGAAAGGAAAAAGAGGACCTTTTTATGCTCTGTCTTAAATATTGCACCCTTCCCCCGTTGTCTCCGCATCACCCTAACAGCCTGATTGCATCCACCTTGTCCGTGATCAGAAGTTAAGCAAGGCCAGACCTGATTAGTCTGGGACACAAGGCCATTCAAAAACGCGAGGGCTCTCCAGGTTGAGCTGGGGGGAAAACAGATGGAAATCCTGATGCCAACCGGGGATGGAATACTGGGGTAGGCAGATCAGCAGGTAGTAGAAGGCAGCTCCTTACATCCCATGCGTTTTGGATATATACAAGAGCCCTGCAGTGAGAAACTGGCTTTGAGGAGTGGCTGCTGAGATGACATGGGGAATGTTTTGGCGCAGGCAAATTCACCCTAGATTGCCATCTGGGTTCTAACAATCTGATAGGGTTCATGGCTGGGAGATGTATTCAGATCTACTTTATAGGACACGAGCGGCTGATTTCCTTACCTGCTTCACCGACAAAGACTTCCACGGGAGCACTGGCAGGGCTCTCCCCAATGATGTTATACGCTGTCATTACAACTTCATACCGCTTGTACTTTTTCAGCTCTGGAAATGCAAATAATTGGGTTACAAGCCTGCATCGTCTTTAATGTGGCCTTTAAAAATGCTCAATAGACCCGAAGGAAAGGCAAATCAACTGTGAAATATCCAATCAGGGGGGCCGACATGCAGGTGCTGGGCCTACACGAGGCACAATTATTTGGTTTTCATACCAGTTTAATAATACCCTTTCCCGCTGAAAATAAGACCTAACCTGAAAATAAGCCCTAGTATTATTTTTCAGGATGCTCGTCATAGAAGCCCTACTCCCAAATATAACCCCTAGTTAAGTGAAACCCAAGCCCTCCACCCTTGTGCAGCAACCAAAAGAAGATGACATGACTGTATACGAATAAATGTAGATGGTTGTACATGAAAAATAAAATAAAACACCACCTGAAAATAAGCCCTAATGCATTTTTAGGAGCAAAAATTAATATAAGACCCTGTCATATTTTCGGGGAAACACAGTAACTGTTAAGAGTTTTCCTACAGAGAATATGGGAAACTGTACAATGTGGCAAATCAGCTGAGAAGTGTTGCATAGAGATCTTTAGATCTTCTCAAAAAGACTACAGTACACAGAGTTTCTTTAGGGGCAGAACAGGACAACTAAAATGATGACATGGTTGGAACAGTTTCTTTGGGAGGAAGAAAATGCTAAAGCTTCTAGAGCTTTTTTTAGTTTTCTTGGCTGGGAGGAGGAGAGTAAGGGGGAGCATGATAAGAGGTTTAGAAAATGATGCAGAGGGGTGGAAACTGGAGAAGGAAAGTAATACCAGAAGGCAAGTTAATCCACTGGAATGGGTTCATCCAGGACATGAAAGTCAAATGTCTTCTTCCCACTGCACCTACATCATTTATGAAGTTTTCTGGCATGGAAGATGATGTGGGCTACCATCAATTTTAAAAGGAAATTGGACACATTCATGGAGAAAGAAGAGAAAGTTTATCAGCAGCTAGTAGTTATGATGGCCAGCTCGAATGGAGCTGTATGTTCAGTTCCCACTGTGCACCTGAACCAAGCTTTACATTATAGATAACTTATTATTGGTGCTAAAATCCCATTAGTCCTCAAAGGATGTAACTGAGACAGGCTTGCATGTCTGAGAAATCAGAAGATGTTATAGCTTGGTGATCAGTCACAGGACAAAACAATAAATTTCAAATTTGGGGAAACAAGAAAAGCAACTCCAGTTAAGGAATTCCGTCTTCTACTGACAGGTTATTGACAAGGTACAGTTGTGCCCTCAGCTGCTGTCAGCAGGAAGAGGGGAGCTATTGCCTGTAAGTCTTGCTTGAGATTCAGATGCAGAGATGCTGCAGTGGTGGGTTTCCCCCAGTCGCCAGACATTGGACTAGTTCGCCTCTGGAATCTAGGGCTGCTCAATGTTTAAAAGATTCCTGGAAGGATAGGAAGCTGGAGGGGAAGGGAAAGACCCCCTGTCTCTCACCATGATTGTATCCTGAACACACAAACTTGAGAACAGCATTTAAAATCGTCAACCTGCCCACAGGCAACTGCTTTGTGAACTGTGATGCAGGGATTTATCAACGAGCAATGTAGAAAAAGAAATGACAGCAGTAAGAAACCAGGGAGGAGAGATGCATGGAAAGAGGGGTGCGTATGAAAAGAACTCCTGCATTTTTGTAATGAATAACCAAAAGCATGACAGGAAAGAGAAACACTTGCATCTATGCACCATCTCAGAGGCCCATAGATGCTTGCAACTCTAGGATCTACATATTTAAATTGAGGCCATTTACGTATTTTACAAGGTTAGCCTATCTGGGAGAGTCTGCAAGCAAAATAGCAGACTGATAGCTAGGGAGGAAAGATTGTGAAATTTTCAGGTTCTTTACTTGCAAATCAGTTTACCTGGTACATGTGAGTTACTCTTCAGCCTCAGCAGCACCACGGTTCACTGAAAACCTTCAGCCCAGGAAAGTCGCCATGAGATTAATAACAAACCTTTCTAATTTCAGATTTCCTGAACTATTTACATGTATTCTGCCCACGTATTTGAGTCTACAGAACACTGTGTTGTTGCCTGCCGGTTTCAGGTAGACAGACAGCTGATGGTATCTGATTTACTGCTTACATTTCACCAGCGTAATAAATAAAAATGTCTCTGATATATTGTAGGAAAGTAGCATTTTTATGGGGTGTGAAACCCCTGCCAGTTCATACAAGAGAGCATTTTTTCCCCTTCTGCTGCAAGGGATGATACTTTGTCAAGGCAATATGGAAGAGAAGGGTATTGCTGAAGCAGAACCACCTAGACACTGGAATGAATTCATGAAAAGTTCATAGGGGCTGGGAATTTAGTATATTTAGTGAGGAAGACGAACAGAAGTTCTGAGTTTGAAGTGGGGCAGTGTTTTACGATGGAGGAAAGCAATCCCATAATGACAGCATGAGAAAGTGGATCCGATGTTCAATACCAGATCCAGTTCAATTTGTCACATCTCATGGCAATCATGATGCAAGAGACCAGCAATCTTGCACACTCTTCAGGAGCGATTTCCAGCCACTGGGAACTAAAAAAGTTTTCCTTATAATGTCTCTACTACATTTTACTAATGTTAAGGGATTAATGATGTTTTAATTTTGTTGCTTAGTTTTGTAAGCTGCTTTTTTGACAAAAGGATCATCGCTATAGTCACCACCGTCCAGTGGTTTGTTCTGTAAAAGCAGCTATAGTGCATGATGCACTGATGTGAGAGAGTTGGAACCCCGTCTGCAGATAACCTACCTTGGACACAAAAGGCCGAGGGTAACTGGAGAATGTCAGACCTTTTAGCCAGAAGCCCCCAAATCCTGTGTTACACTTCACTATCAAAGATAAAAGATTCACAGAGTGGCAAGGATAAAAGGAATCCCGATTTGGGTGGTCAAAAACCATTAGCGACTTTCTCAGCTTTACTCTAAGTGGAAAAGTGTATTCAGCAAACCCATTCTTATCAAAAACCGAGTAGCCTTTGAACTAACTAAGCCCATTAGGTTTATTTCCAAGAGGACACATCCTTGAGCGGTGTGCAAACCTTATCCATCTCTCTTCTGACTTTGCCCAGTGCTAGCAGAGATACCCAGTCATTCTTGGCAATTAGAAATATTGTTGAGTTCCATAAAACTTTCCCAATGGTCTGGGAAATATGGAGCAAGTCAAACTGCTGCACAGGTTTTGCCATTAGACTGGTCAACTTATGAGAATCAGCATGGCTCCACCAGATAAGAATTGCTAAGAAAATATAGAATTCTCTTGTTCCATCACCAGGAAATCTGAACCACTAGCAGCAGCCCATCCTGGGGGAACCAAAGGATCACTCGGAACCTGTATATTCTTCAAGAATTATGAAGAGCTGCCTCTCACAACACACCACATCTGTACGCAGACACTTACGTGTTAATTCACATGTTGTTAACACAGAGCTGCTGTTCACTGTCTTGAAGCTGCTTTGGGCTATTCAGGGTAAGCAAAGCAGAAAATTGTTAGAGTGCAAGGAAAACCGTTATTGCAGATGATATACAGCGCAGGCAGAGGGAAATGATGCGGTACACACATAGACAGCTTTAAGCTCGAGGACGGTACCTTGACAGGCAATAAAAGCCACATCACTTCCTTGATAACATGCCAAGAGACCATCAGTCATGAAGGCTTGCCCAGTTTCCCCACCCATAAAGAAAAGGCACACGAATGGCAATGTAAGGGAATGTAAAAAGCAATTAGAAGTGTTTGAGCCAACAAGCCTGCCCTGGAGAAAGGATTATTCCCCAAGATTCTTCTATGCTCTCCAAGTTTGAATGTGTAGTGAATTTGTTATAGAAACTATATACTTAGGACTGACAGAAACACACACATACACAGGAGAAACCCTGAAATTACTTGTGTTGGTTTTATTTATTTTTCATGGAAGGCTGTAATATGGCTGGAGAACAGCACTGCTCTCGGCACAGCAGGAGACGTCATAACTCCACGGTTTGGATAAGGCTTTCTGTTTTCCCCTCAACCCTTTATTCTCCCTTCTCGATCGATAAAGCCCTTAATTTGATAGACTAGGGAAGTGAGTTTTGGACACCTGATTTACTAGCAGGATAGCCACAAGATGGAAAGAGCAGAAAGCAGGAAGTAATTGGGGATGGGGTATATCAGCGGAGAGAAAAGAGGGAAAAAATGTCTGCCTTTGGAAACACTGTAAACCTATCGGCTAGTCAATAGAGAGCCTAGAATAGAGGACCGCAGAGCACATACAAATCTCTCTTCTCATTAGCTACAGTTAACATCTGTCCTAGCTTCATGCAAGTGTCAGATAATTCAGCCTCCTTTCTAGTGCCCTCACTACTGAATGCTGGGGATGACAAATAGCTTTTACTGGATTAAGAGCAGGAGGACAGAAAGGACAAGCTACTCACGTGTAAGCTCTGCTCGTAAAGCTGATGGGTTCTTCATTATCTTGGACTCTGATCCTGATCCTGTGCTTTCATATTCCAACTCCCGGTAATAAATGCGATATCCCAAGAGAAGGCCATTCAAGCTCTCTGCCTTTGGAGGCTGTAAGAAGTTCCCATGAAACAATATATTAGAGTTATGGGTACAATGCATGCATGTCTAGATTTGTTTTGAAGCCATATGAATCTACCCCAGCCATTCTCAACCTGCAATTCCCAGAAGCCTTCACCATCAGCTGTGCTGGCCGGGCTTCCTGGGAGTTGCAGTCCAAGAACACCTGGGTTACGCAAGGTTGGGATCCATTGGTCTAGAAGACTAAAGCAGCCCTTGATAACTGAAGCTACTGGCAGTTGCTGGGGACACAACAAGATCAAGCATTCTGCTCATGCTGTTATCTATCCCAGCTTCTTTCTACAGGCATGAGACATTTATTGCTACTTCCAGACAGAGTTGACAATTAGTGGTGCAGTGGTAAATTTGGAAGGGCAGGGGTACATCACAGACTGATCAAGGGTGTTTCCACCAAGGGTGTTACATCAGATATAAGCCCAGCTGATATACGGATCCAGGTAAACAATTTCAACCCAAACTTCACAGACTTAATATGCCATCCCATCACCCATTCTCCCATCAGTTTCAAATGTGAGCATTGCGTTCTTTGAGACAGGGGATTGAGGGAGAACCTTTTTCCAATAAAGATCTCATGAACATTTTCTTGTGTTACTCCCGCACACAAAGAGGTGTTGATGATAATCATGATTGAATCATATTCTCAAGTGGAACTATGATATCATTCCATGGAGGGTTTAATAAGCCCTTGGGGATAGATGCTACATAGTGGTATTTCCTTGCTACCATGAAGAAGCTACACAGATGACCCAGCTATGAACAAATGGGTCTACATGGTAAGTCTTTGCTTGATGTATAAAACATGCAGGTCTACACTGTTGGCAATCTCTTCCATGTCCCCAGCATATTAACTTGACTCCAGAATAAATATGACTCTGAGTGCCACAACCAGTTATGGAATCTTCTCTTATTCTGATGAACCTCAATGCTTGAAATCATTAATTAAAATAATTTAAGTTCCCCATAATTCAGAAGTCAAGGAGCTTTTTGTTTTTAAAGTATTTTTAAAGGTGTCATGGAGTCTGGTGAAGAATGCCTTTCAGTCCAGCGCTATGAATTTTGCTGGAGACTAAGTTTCTGAACAGCCTGGAGCACACATCCTCAACATTCAGTTAATTAGAAATCTGAATAAGAATGAAGGCTGTTTGCATGGAGCTGTCTTGATCAAAATCTATGCAGGTACATGCAGCCAGTTCAATTAACTAGTCATTTTAGATAATCAGCATCCTGATACTAAGGGTCCCACAGCAACTCCCCCCCCCTTTACTTTCTTTTCCTCTCCTTTTATAAAAGCTTCCAGATTCATATCAGGTCCCCATTCAAAAGAGAGCAAGTAGGCTTCTCTCCAGAGTTCAGATCTTATAACAGAATCAAAAGCTATTAAGATACCTGGCATAAAGAGGCCAAGGAGATAAATGGCCTGGGATGATCTTTCCTCTTTGCCTTGATAATCATACTTCTGCCTTGGCAAATGTATTCTGTGGAAAGGTCAGGGCATCCTGCTCTTATCTGTCTCCTGGACAGAACTCAGCATTTGATGTAATGGATTATTTAGGATTTTCTGTCTTGTTCTAAGACTAGCAAGTGGGGGATCTAAAGTGATGATGATGAGTGGCATCCAGTGAGGTTTAGAAAAACAATAAAAAGACTTTGTTTATATTGTACAATGTGAACTTTTTTTAAAAAAATCACTGGAGGCAACAAACTGGAATGAAGCATTCCAGTTAGCTTTACTACCAATAAGATTTTAGAAATCAATCCACATAACCACTGCCTTATCAAAAAACACCCTCTGCATTCATGACGATGTGGGTTTCCAACAATCCCCAGAAAAGCTTAAAGCATCAGCATCTAATTGCACTTTGTACGTTTGCTAGGAAACCATTAAAATATCATCCTACAAGGGGAATGCAACCTTTGTTCTGCTTGTGTTTTCACAGCATTGAGCTGGAGTGTGAGCTTATTTTACATTTTTCATTTGAAAACTATGGCATGTCTAAACTGCTGAGTATCCAAATAACAGAAGCGTAGTAATGACATGTAATTGCCTTCAATTCTCTTGACGTGGCTCAGGTGCACCTATCCCATTATGGCTTCATAAAATAAAAAGCACCCAATTATCTAAACTACTACCTATTTCACATTCATTATTCACCCGATATCCCTCAACGGGATCAACCTTTGTTTCCTACATGCACTGCTTCATTGTATTCTGCCTCAAATTCCATCCCTAGAGGGTGGATTACCAATTCACACCTATGCAGAGTTCCTCGTGATACAGCCACCTTGCCTCTCATGTGTTCTGTGTGTTGTAACAGAGAGTTATTGAGACTCCGTGGCGCAGTGGTTAAATTGCCGGACTGCAGCCAAAACTGTGCTCACAACCCGGGGTTCAATCCCAGGTAGACAGCTCAAGGTTGACTCAGCCTTTGATCCTTCCAAGTGCCCAGCTCACTGGGGGGGGGGATGTCAATGTGTAACTTGCATCATTAACTTGTAAACCACCCAGAGAGTGCTTGAAGCGCTATGGGGCGGTATACAAGCAGCACGCTTTGACTTATTACTATGTGAGTCAGGTCTTTTGAGCACTTTTGTGCAGACTAAGCCTCTCCATAAGGGACAGACTCAACATCTGAGATACACTTTGTGATATGGCAGCAACTGTAGTATATATCTTAATGCAAAATTGTTCCAGCCCGAAGGGAGCCTGTGTGGTTTGGTTTCCAAGCCAATTTTACTGTGATGCAGGGTCTTAGCCGAAGGCCAAATGACACACAACAGACACTCCTTGAGTGTTGATCCTGTTTGAACTTCACACAAGCTTTTCTCACCTCCCCCCAGTTCGCAAATTAGCTTGCTTTCCTTTTGCGATTGGTTGTCAAAATGTACACACCTTCTTCATTTGCCCTCCTGATTTCTCAGACAAGAAAACTTGCCTAGATTACTTCCCTGGAACACTCAGATGATTTCAGCACTGATGGCTTATCTGTAGCATCTCTTTTAGTTCTTAAGAGCAGCCACTCCCATCCTGGAGATCTTTGGATCTATTAAACTGGAGATCCTACCACGTTCATCCAGCACGTGTGTTCTGATTCGGCAGGGCTGACTGAGGCAGCCAACTATGCTTATCTGTACCTGTACCCTGTACAGGAAGCCACTACTTCCTGTCAGAATCAACTATCAGTAGTGTGCTGGTAAATTTGGAAGTGTTCCTCATAACAATCTGCCTCACACGAGAAGAATGCAGAAATGCCGGCAGCTGAATTGGTCCGTATCAACAAAGAGCACATCTTTTGTAAATTTAATGATTCTTCATTGCTCATTCACGACCAAACAGTTCTCAAATATTTTGCACTGCAAGAGGAATGGCTTATGACGATATACTACGGTTTAGAAAATCCATGTCTCTCCTGGCTATTGAGAGGATTGCAGCTAAGTTCAAAGGCGAAGTCTGAGGCAGATGGCAGGTCATGTCATGGACCTTGCTATTCAGATAGTCCCAGGGTTGATGATCCTCCAATAGTCTGTCCAAGGCTGTTTCCTTTCCCCACTTCTCTGTCCTAAGCCAAGAAACCAGACTCCTCTCCCCCCTCGCCACCCTTTTTCTTCTAATCCAAAGAGCAGAATCATTTGGGCTCACAAAGTATTTTATACTCTACCAACCTGCCACTGGACAAGGACCGAAGATGTTGTGTGTGGGGTCACAGACACAGAACTTGGGGGCTCCCCTGGAACTAAAAGAAAAAGAAAGAGAAGAAGGCCAGATATATATATTTCATTTTGTCAGTAAACATTCCTTCTGTGTGTTGGTGCTGAGCCCCAGCTGTGCTGTCCAATTGAAAAGGACCGGGTGAGTGCCTCTTTTCCCCCTGCCCCCCCCGTTCCCCCCCCAGTTCCCCCCTCTCCCACCACCAGGAGAGGCCCAGCCACCTAAGCCTGCTTTCCATGTCTATCCTACCTGTTCGGCAAATGCACGGGATGTGTCAGGGACAAAGCTGAGGACGCTTATCAGGTGCTCCCAGCTCTCCACACTAAAATGCTCCACTAGCAGCACTGGGCTTTTGCTCAGCAAAATAAATCCTCGGAGCTTGCCGAGGAGGTGAGAAGCTTTTTACAGTTAATCACTTTTGTTGTACGGAGGCCAGGAGGGGGGGTGCTCCGGGTTCTTTAAAACTCAGCCCAAAGTGTGTTGTTGTTTTTAGGGAGGGGGCAGGAGAAACTTAAAAATTCATCAAACCGAGTTCCAGACCATCAGCCACGTTAGTCCGCTCAAACAAACAGAGAGGAGACGAACAGTGGCACCTTAAAGATAAAGCTGGGATTCAAACTTTTTGCACATCCAGGGATGTGGGAGCACTGGGGTGGATTTTTTTTCCTTTGCCTTTTTGTTTTGTTTTGTTGAGCAGCAGATTCTCTGCCGCAGATGCCACGACGTGTAACAAACGGCTTCCAAAACGCCACTCCTTGCCAGCTCCCAGGCAACTGTGGGGCATGATTAAGAGAGAAAGGAGACTCGTTGCTTGTCCCTTTGGATTGCATCCTAATTGGCACACTCTGGTCGGAATGAGACATTTTATCTCCGAAGGCAGTAATTCCAGAGTCCTTTGCAACGGTAAGGGCCAATTCAGAGAAATATCCACCCTCCTCCACCAGTGCCTGCATGCAGCTTCAGTCATAATCAAGGCAAGTGCGGAGCTTTTAGGTGGAATGGCCGAAGGTCTGTTGTCTGGACAGTGACACAATGCAAAACAACACAATGCCTACTGAAGATGTCTCTGCATCAAAGAAGTGCTTCTGAACTACCTGCAGGGCTCTCTGAGTCCACTGCTGACTGCAAACTGTAAGAGAGAGTGCTCACAAGCACTAAGTAAGAGAAGCAGACGGATCTACTATGAAACCAATGAAGCTAGAGCTTCCAGGAGGCTTTCGTCCATTTTTTTAAAAGCGTGATCTATTGCTGAACGACCCCATTGGAGAAGATAGCCGTGGTTACCCAGACCTTGAGGCTGCTTGCAAAGAGTCCCCCATCACAGTTCAAGCTTTTGGGCCCCCAAAATGTAGGCCTGCCACTGGAAGGAGAGCCTCTCCTTCCCTGAAAGACCCACCCCACTCCTCCTTTCCACATGTAAAAGACAAGATGGAGAGGTCCATGGCCAAACGACTCCAGGAGGCCTTATTGGTGAGCTTCCTGGCCTCAGAATATTTTTCCAAATGTGTAAAGCAACCCTGGTCTTCAGTAAGGACCCGACTTTTATCCGATTGAGCACTCACTTCTCTGCTGACCAACTAACCAGTATACCAACGTGCATCATGTGTGAGCTCAAGGTCTACAGCTGATTCTCCCCGCATCCCCACAGTGCTTATCTGGTGATCACATCACCCTGTTCCATCTCCTTTTTCAGGGGTCTTGGTTACATGTAGCGCTTCCACACAAGATGGGAATCCTTCCTCCTCAAACCATCCCTTTTGCAAGAGGAAGCTGAGGATGGCACTCTTCTCTCCATAAGTCAAATCCAACAAGTAGTATCTGAACAGGCTTACATTTCTGACGTGCCTGTAGTGCAGTGGTTCCCAACTTTGGGCCCCCAGATGTTCTTCCTGAAATCCTGGCCAGGGCAGCTCATGGCGAAAGCTTCTGAGAATTTTTGTCCTAGAACATTTGGGGACCCAAGGTTGGGAAGCACTGCTGTAGCACATTGCACAGGGAGGGCTGAGTCTCTATAGAAGATACCAGGGTATAGCAGAACAATTATTGTGCTTCGTTAATGGCCTCCTCAACTTACAACCACCTGCCAGTAGTTTATGTATAACACAAAATGCACATGGTATGAAACTGGGTGGTTGTTTTTTTTTTTGCCCACTCCAATTACTGAGCTAAATGTTTATGCTTGCTGGACATGCACACGCTTCTCCTTCTTATTCAACCGTTTAGCACTTCTGCAGCCTACAAGTGGATTTGAAGAGAAAACAATTGAAGAAAGTTCGCCAAACATGCGCTCAATTCTACATTCATTTTTAATGTTGCTCGGTAAATTATTCAATTTCAGGCAAGATAATGGCTTGTTAGCACAGAACCTGGATTCATACTGGGTTTAATTCAGTTTGGAGGCTTCTGGCAAGATTCATTATCTGAAGACACTGCAGGATAGTTGATGATGGAGGAGACTAAACTTTGTGAACAGTACCTTACCAGTGGGCTTTAAATGATTGTTATTTGTGTTCCTGTCCTCTATACTCAACATGCAGCACTGGGAATGAATGAACTGGACAAAACAGTTTCTGAATTACTGTTATATGCAGGCAACACGTATGTCCTCAGTGGCTACCTGATCTGGCCCTTACCATCCTGCAGAGTAGTGACTGCCTCTGTCTCGGCGCTAAAGTCGCTGTCTCCAATGTCATTGGTAGCTTTCAGACGCAGCTTGTAGGAGGTAAATGGATTCAGCCTGCAAGATGGAACCATAAACAGAGCAGAAATTAAACCCCTCCACATTGTCTCATGCAGTCTTTGGGTAAAATACCAGCCCAAGGTCCAGGACATCTTTAAAGCCATGTTTAAAAGCAGCAGGCAGGGTTTTCTTTGCTTGCTTGTTCGTTTTGTTTTGTTTTTGGATCCCTGGACAGATTGCTGATTATAATAGAATGGCTAGGGGAGCCATTTGATCATCTGTGGCACCACCACTGAATGGAAATGGCGAAAAACCAACACCCAACCTATGGAGACAACCAGTGGAGGCCAATAATGGAGTCTTCCTCCTGTATTTGTGCCTGCCATGAGGACATTTGGGGAGACCAAAGAAGCTATACCAGTTGGGTTAGCTATTCCAGGCATGAAAATAGCTCGGGGCTGCTGCCCGTAGCTTTCAGAACACTACCCGGTTTTACCAACCAGTCCTCAGTGCCAGCGTCCAGCTAGCTGTGCACGTTGATTGCAGAAAAACCAGCAAAGACTCTTGTGACATCTTGAATCACGACATGCTTTATTCAGCACAAGAACTCAGGGACTGCAACTCACTTGGGTTGTCATCCACACGAGCTTAAGCTGACCAAAACATGTACCAGTTTCCACAGGCCGTCCCACAGAATATGGCCAGGAGGTGAAAATTAAGAGCAGAAACTCAAACACATATGCCTATTGGAGTTCAGTGTTCCAGTGTTATGTGTATATTTCTCAGTGAAGCTCTGGAACACCTTTTGCGGTGGTCAAATCTCATCTACCATCATCATCTGCACGGGAAACATGGGCAGGCTTCTCCAAGGGGCAACCAGCACCAGAGGGACAGCTGGCATGGAGCTTCCTGGGCACCAGCGTCTCGGTTAATCTCCTAGGCAGTGCTGTGGGGATGTTATTTTTCATCGCTGCTGTGTTTCCAACTTATACTGTTACTCAGTTTATTTAACACAGACAGTGACAGGGGATTCCCTGCAGGTTTTCTATGTACTCAGTGACTTTAAGATATGCAAAGGCTGACTTCCAGCTGAGGCTACTTCAGCAGTGCTTCCAGCGTTGCTAGTGGGAGGCTCTCTTTTGAGTAGCTAACAAGGTCTGCAGGAGTTCAGAGTCGCATATAATAGGCTTAGCTAATTAATCGGTTAAAGCCAGTCCAGGTCTTCCATCCTGTAGGGCCAACTAGCAATACAGATAAAACTGCTGGGGATGAATGATTAAACACGGCGGGATAAAATGCCTGGATGATGGACAGCATGTTAAATTGCTCTGAGGGAACCTCTCAGGAAATATCCTGTTAGGAAAGGGGCAAGTCATCCTTTCTCCCTTAATCCCAGAGAATAAAGCCTCGGATGCTTCACACACGCATGTTTTGGAGCTGGTATGATCCTAAAAAAATGCCGTAGGAGGACATTTCTTGGGTTGTATTTCTGAATAAAAAAGAAGACTGAAGGACTACACAGAGGGGAGAAAAGTAAATGCATGTGTAATATATGATTGTGATAGTAGACTGGGGAGACTTTTTTTGTCTCTAAGGGTTTTGAATTACAACTTACCATCTTCTGCTCAATCTATGAATCAGAGTTCTATGGTTCATATGTTGTGGTTCTTTATATATATATATATTAAAATTGAGAAGTTTTACTCTTGCTGCCTCCCTACCTTTTAGAAGAAGTGAACAATACAAACAGGTCCACGTTCAAATGCTGGCAATCTTTTTCTAGAGTTTTCTAAGTACAGGATAGGCAAAGGTGGTTTCCCATTCCCTTCCTCTAGGGGCGCCCTGGGACTGTGCAGCTTGCCCAAGGCCACCCAGGCTGGGTGTTCTTTTAGGAGGCACCGTGGGGAATTGAACTCCACTGCCAGAGACCTAAATTACTAAGCTTTCCAATAACTACATGCCATCACATCAATTCTGACTTGCAACAATCCTTTCCAGGGTTTTTTAGGTAGAGGTGGTTGACCCTTCCCTTCCTCTAGGGGGAGCCCTGGGACAGTGCAGCTTGCCCAAGGCCACCCAGGCTGGCTCTTCTGGAATGCACACTGGGGAACTGAACTCCCAACCTTTGGCTCCACAGCCAGCCCCAACTCAGGGAAGTACACAAACATGCACATACACAAGTATAGAGGAAGTAAGGGAAAGAGATATGCAGTGCACGCTAAAACTTATACAGTAAGTCATCTATTGAAACAAACTTTTAAGAAACCAGTAATTGATAATGAAAGAGAACAGGATCAAGTCATACAGGTTGGGAGGGGGGGAGGTTTGCTGTAAAAACAGACGGGAGGCCATCTCATCTGTTCTATGCCTTGCAACCCATCTGGCTTATGGAAATTATCCCCAGACGAAGCCACTCCTTACATTTGTGGATTTTTTAAAAATGCATCAATCTGCCTTGATCGTTTTCAGTTTGGTGCCAAAATGCATTTCTTCACCCAGCCTTCTCCTCTGTGAAAAGAGCCTCACTGCCTTCAGCAGATTTGGATCGGCAGAAAAGACAAACAGCAACTGGCAAGTCTCCTTGTAGGTACAGGGTGGTTCTGCCACAGGAATTTTAATTCCTGCACAATCTAATGAAGGCTGGATAATGCCGTTTAAACAGGGTGATGTTATCGCTCTATTCCTCAGTATGGCAACACAGATAAAATTGCCCTCATTTCATCTGAAAACAAGATAAGGAACTCACAGAGTCAGAATCTGTGCACGGCTGGGAATGAATTTCAACAGTCAGTGGAAAAAAAAAAAAAAAAAGGGGGGAGAGGGTTTGGCAAGACCTAGGATTTTTTTCTGCTGTGCTAGAGAGGTGGTTGAGAGAAAGAATGAGGGCTACCCAATTAGCTTATGTGAAAACAACTGGGAAACCCTTTGTCTGAGGTTAAAATCCTGTCCTCCTTTTTGAGGAAGTGTTTCCCCATAAAAAGCACCGGGAGCCTGCACTGCTTCTTCCTCATCGTAGTACAAGGGAAAAGGAGGCGGGCCTCAGACTACAAACCCACTGAGGCAAAATACAGAGCTGCCAGAAGCTCTTCAGTTTTCAGAATCTTATTGTCTCATTCCAGTATCAACAGGTGTTTCCTGAAGCCTTTTTTTCTTGTGGGAGGGGCACAGACACTTGTTGTTTCCACATGTTGCTTTTCTGCCGCTAGCTGGATCAAGGAGTCAAGCCGTGGTTTTATATGTCACAGCAGGGACTCACATCACTCAGCTATGCCCACCTCCATGACCCAGCGGAGGCTGGCAGCTTCTGTGGCTTCAGCAAACCTGCTCCAGGGTTTATCTGCCTTGAGTGGCAAAGGAACTATCCATGGTGCTGATACCTATTTGGGGACTATCAGTCAGCACCGTGGATAGCTCCTGCAAGGTTAAGATATAAAATACAAAACAGCTTCTATCAGAGATGCCAGCTTCCACTGCTGACACCAAGCTCCTTCCCTACAAAGTTTGCCAAGCAATGATCCTCTTTCACCTGCCATGTGAAGGAACGGCTTCATTTTTGCAGCTTCTGACCCCTTTACTGCCTCCAGTTCATCCTTTTTGCATCCTTTTGGAGCCTCGGGCGCAGTGGTTAAACGGCTGTACTGCAGACAAAACTGTGCTCACGACCTGGGGTTCAATCCCAGGTAGCGTCTCAAGGTTGACTCAGCCTTCTATCCTTCCGAGGTTGGTAAAATGAGTACCCAGCTTGCTGGGGGGGGGGCAATGTGTAGTCTGCATAATTAACTTTTAAACCGCCCAGAGAGTGCTTGAAGCCCTATGGGGCCGTATATAAGCAGCACACTTTGCTTTGCTTTTTGCTGCATCTTATTGACTCAGTGCTCATTCCCTGCTGGGCGTGAGGGCATTTCCATTGTTATTTTCTTTTCACCTTGTTTTGGGAAATTTCACAGTAAAAAGAGAGAAAGGGAAAAGTGGGCTAGCCCATTGGACCTTTGTAGTGACTTTGCACAATGACTTTGGAACAGAGTCGCATTGCTGCCAAATCTGCACCAGGACTAGAACTTTGCGCATAAATCCTAGACAGAAGATCCGTCCAGTCATTATAGCCTGTGGGTTCCCAAACATATTTAGAATGGAGTGCTTAGCTATGCACATGTTAGCAACTTTGTCTGAGCAGGAGAAGTTCCTGTGTTAGTGTAAACCCTCCCTGTTCTCCATATTCATTCCTGCTCATGAGAGCAAAGTGATGAAAGTGGGGCTGGCCTAGGTGTTCCCCTCTAAGCATGCTGAAGAACCCAGAGGTTTGGGCGGGTTCTTGAATGGGGTAGTACAAGTATGTTTCAATGTTTCTGCGCGAGTTCCCAGGAACACCAGCAACTGCTTTAAAAGAGGGTGCTCCTGAGATACTGGAGGGAGAGAGCCTTAGCATCACATCCCAAACATCCAAGTCACTTCTCCTGGGCACTTTTGACACCATGCCTTTTGTCTTCCTCCTTCTCCTATAATGAAAGAAAAGTCTGCTTGGTGCTTTGAGGCTAGGCGATGCTCACAGTGTCAAAGTGTGTCATTCTTCCTGCCCCTTCCTGCTGTGAGCCTCTGTGTGGTACCTGTCAATTATGCAGGAGGTAGCTTCGTGGCTGATGGATGATGAATATGTTTGCCAGTCACCGCCTGGCAGCTCTTTCATCTGCACTGTGAAGTAGCGTATTGGTGATGACCCATCGCTTCCAGGAACCCAGTGCAGCTGCAGGCTTCGGGAGGTCACTTCAGACTGGGGGATGCTCAGTTTCCTAGGAGGGCCAGGCCGCTCTGAAATCGAAAGTGACATCTTTATGATACACAGAGATAATAAGCTATTCAAAACCAGAGGGTGAAAATATTACATGGCGAGACTACGTTTCCCAGAGACATGCAGCCACTGCACAGGCTCACTGATCTGGCTCCCAGCTGTTCTTGCTTGTTGCTGCAACATTGTGGAAGGATGCCCTTTCGCTCTGCCGTCACTTTCCTCAGACCTCTGAGCAGAGGAGGTCAAGGGGCCAAGAGCAGCCTTTGCAACTGGTGTGTTTTCAAATGTCACCAAGGTTAGAGAACACCAACAGTTTCCTTTCAAAATGGAATCAATACGAAGCTGAGGCTGAAAATCAAACAGATGCTGAGAAAAGATCCATACTCTGATGTGAACTGGAGAATACCAGCCTGCAATCTCTCCCCACTCCACTCCTGTTTTCTGATCTGTGCTGATGGCTACCTGTTTCACCATTCCCATTAATCTCTGCTGCATTCTGGCCCCTGGCCTCCTTGTTCCGTCAAGACCACGCTATGAACAGAAAGCTTACATCACAGAATATAGCACGCAAAAGCTCTTTGACGTACTTATTCCATATATGACATTCCAGTTACAGCATTAGAATTCAGCATACAGAACATACGGAATTGTTCTATTTCTTTATCTCCCACTTAAGAGTAGAAAGGAAAAATGAAACAAAAACATGGACATGGTGTGAAAAGAGGATGAGACAATCCTTATTTATTACTTTCTTTAATCCTTCCTTTCCCCAAAGAGCTTACCTAGCACAAGAGGTCTATCATGTCCCCTGTAATCAGGGCATTTTTGTGAAATAGGTCAGGTGGAAATAGGTCACCCTCACCATCGTTACCCCGCCAGAGCTAAGGTGGGCCCAGAAGAGGAATTTCCTCCCACTCTCAATAGAGTTGATACACTGCTCCTTTTTTCTTCTTCACAAAATTGCTCATTGGCATAACTACCAGGAATAAAGTGGATTTTATGAATCTAAAGCACCAGATGGTTTTCTCGCATCTTTTTAAACAATCACCCAGTACTTCTGTGCTCACTGTGTGTGTGATGGGCACAGCCACATTTAGCTTCTCAAAGGAGAAGAACAGGAGAGGCAATTTGTGCAAACGAATGATCCTTTGATGGTGGAAAACAAGACAAGGAATTTCACAGGGGTTTGAAATTTCTTATCCCAGCGTCTCATCATCTTGACACAGCCTAAATCAATGAGAATGAGGTTTTTATTCTTTCCATCTCTCGTATGCAATGTTTTTTTTAAAAAAATCCCTGCATGTTTTTTTAATCCCTCAACTGTCATTATACTCCCTTTTAGGGCAAAGGTGGTATGTCAAACAGAACCCACTCCCTCTGAATCCCCCTTCTTCCACTCCATTATTACTCTGAATTATGAGCGCAAAATAAATCCATCAACACCACAGGGCCAGCAGGGAGATCCCAGAGGCCAGAAGAAGGTTAATCTTCTTGGATGACATGTGAATGAAAAGGCCGGCCCCACTGATGTCTGAATGCAGAACTCTCACCTAGCTCTGGCTCTCAGCACCCATCGATTTCAGCAGAAAACTCAATAGTGTGAGGAATAATTGTTTAATTGTTTATCATGGAGATTATTGATTCTGATTAAAATGTGTGGCATGTAATAAAGCAAACATTGATTAGCCACACTGCAGCGACTTGCCTTTGAGAAACCCACTGGATTTGCCTCCGTCAGCAGCACCTGTTTCCCTCAAAATACACCTCGTGCTTCCGAACGCTCCGACAGCTTTCTACAAAGAACAATTTTTATTTGGGGTTTCTCTTCTCCCCTCCCTCAGCTTCTCTGAAAACATTTGCTTTATGGCTCGCCATCTCTCAGCAGTTGGTGCTCGCTTGATGGTACCCAAAGAATTGTCAGCCATTAGCCTCAGAGAAGCCTCGAACACAACCGCGCCGGTTATATGAGAGACAATGCAAAGGTCGCTACTAGAGTACTTAGCGTTATTCCGTTGGAGGCAAAAAGCGCTTGTTGGCAGCCCTGGGGGGATTGCATGCTTTCATCGGAGGTGTTCGCCTAAGACAGGTGGTGGATTGCATCTGGTATTTGCTCTCGCTCTCTCTTGTGACAGAGTTTTAGTCTGTTTCTTCCTAATGATTTCAAAGGTCTCCTTTCCTGCCGCACAAACTCCCTGTCTGCATGTAGGATACTGTTTCTGCTGGGCTTCTGGAGCTTAGACAATTCCAAAAGCAATTATGGCTGGCACAAAAGGCAAAGAGGAGGGACAGTGTGAGGGACTCAGCAGAGAATCATGTGGAGGGCAAAGGAAGTAATGATCACCCTACCGCGCGGCATGCAGGTGATCGCAGCTGAGCTTGGAAACTGAGCTTGGTTTCCACATGACTGACAGACCACCTGGTTACGGCGAGGAAGAATCTTGCCACAAACTCCAGAGATCATCCACTGCTCAGAGAGAACCGTTTTGGGAGAGGCAGATGAGCCATCTCACATAATGCATCACAGAACCCTATCCTCCCAACTTTCTATTCACAGCCATCTATCATGGTCATTGGTTATTAATTTTATTAATAATTCATGATTAATAATAATTAGCCCTTCAACAAACTGAATAATTTCAATGATTTAGTTTGTTGAAGGGCCAATATGCTCTACATCTGTTAGCTGTAGCCCAACCATGTCTGGAGGGCCAAGGTTTCCTACCCCTTCTGGAAGAGAAACTCAACCTCAAGAGAACATTTGTGGATTACACTCAAATGATGAAGCAATATGTCTTCATTCTGCAAAAAGAAAGCACCGCTCATTTATTGCTCTGTTTAGCAACTTGCTTTGTTAGCCAATCAGGACCTGCTGCACCTGAGAGGTCCGAAAAACAAGATTTAAAACACTCGTGTGAAGAAGGGCGATAAAGAGATATTTTAAATGGTGACACCCCAATTTTGGCTGCAGATGACAGGGACTGAACTTGAGAGTCCTCTGTTTGAACAGCTGGTGTTCTATCACTAAGGGAATCCCTTTTCCTCCATTTTGAAGGAGATCAGGCTTCGTTGCCCCTTTAAATGTGCACAGGGAGAGATGAGGATAGGCAAAGTGTTTCTTGTTAGCAGGAACTGCAGTGAAGAATCATATCACTCTGCTCCGGCCAAAGTGTATCAAAAGACTACGGAGCATCGGAGCATCCTAACGTTGAAAATCCAAAGGATTATAGAAATGCAGAGCTGCTCTGGTTTTAACAAGTGCACCTGGCAATAAGGAGCTCAGGACAAGCTTTGTATTTCTACATACCCCTTTGACATACACAGGTTTCTAAAGAAGCTTAAGGGATTATTGAGGTGCCCAATTCTCATTCAGTGAGAATGAAATTTAAATCTGAGTGGCTAACGCCCAAGTGCTTTTTCAAAAAACCTTTGGTCTTGGGGAAAATAGAAGTGACATGGATCTGAGTTCCGTTCCCCCTTGATTCCTCCTAAGGGGAAAGCGAGAGGTGATTCTTTTTTCACATGTGTGTTCTCCAGCTCCATGACTTCCCCTTGCAGGGCCTGTCAATGTGGAAAGGAAAAAAGGAAACCGAACGCACACATTCTTTGTTGAACATTTCCCTTGACTAAACGTTGGAAGACTGCCATTTAGGGAGGAGGAGTCCTATCATTGTTCAGTGGTACAGTGAGGACCCCTTTCCTCTATATGGAAAAGAGGACAGCCGCAGCCTATCCACTGTTTAAACAATGCGACTTATGCCTACAAAACTAGTTCTGCCAATGTGAAGGTCCTGCATCCAAAATCACAACATTATTGCTCATTTTTGGGCCCAGAATGTTTAGCCACGGGGCTATATGTTGGACGGAACAAAAGAAATATTTTCCTGGATCCATTCAGGAACCTTCAGATTTTCTTTAGGAACTCATCCAAAGCCATTTGGAGCCTGAGATAGAAAATCTAAACAGCTTCCCTCGCATGCCATCACATCCTAAGTCTTGGTTCCATTTAACAGGACTGGCACTAAACTTCCCACTCTCTCTTTATCATCGCCTGAGCAGGAAGCGGAGGGGGAATGTTTTCCAGACAACTGAGATTCCTGTTTCTCTAACTTTTGGGGCATTATCTATTTTAGGGTTGGTGGGCAAGAAAGCTCTCAGCTATATACTTGGAAAGAACATGATGCTGGTCATTGATGGATACCTAACAGTTTGTTGTGTGCAGTTTTTACATTCTGAAAGGTCATGGTATTTCCCCATTGTGACTGGTTGGATGGTCAGATGCAAAAGAACAGTGGCCCCGAATCTTTAAATACCATGCAGAATTTCGGCAGGTCTACCTTATTATTATTATTAAACTTATTAATTATGTGCCGTCAAGTGATTCTGATTTACGGCAACCTTTCCAAGGACCTTTTAGGTATAAAATTCTTAGCAGTGGTTTGCCAGGCCTTCCTCCTGGTAGCACTTATGGACTGTGTAGCAGTGGGACATTGAACTCCCTACTGGGGAAGAACTGAACTCCTGTCCCTATGCTCCAGCCTACTAAGCTATCCATACAGTTATCGCGTTGCCATTACAGATGTGAGAAACTTTCCACCTGTTTTGTAACATTTTGGCAAACATCAATTGTATTTTCTTCCCTTCCTGGATTTGTACTAGGTTATGAGATTGGCCTTGGAGTTCAAAACAAAGCAGGGCAAAGGCTAATAGAGTTTTGTCAAGAGAACAAGCTGCTCATCACAAACACTCTTTTCCAACAGCACAAGAGGCGACTCTACACATGGACATCACCAGATGGGCAATACCGAAATCAGATTGATTATATTCTCTGCAGCCAAAGATGGAGAAGCTCTATACAGTCAGCAAAAACAAGACCTGGAGCTGATTGTGGCTCTGATCATCAGCTTCTTATAGCAAAACTCAAGCTTAAACTGAAGAAAGTAGGAAAAACCACTGGGCTCGTCACGTCTAATCTAACCCAAATCCCTTATGAATACAGAGTGGAAGTGAAGAACAGGTTTAAGGAACTAGATTTGAATCATACAGGCTCAGGAAGCTGGCTCAAGGCTGACTCAACTTTTCATCCTTCTGAGGTTGGTAAACTGAGTACCCAGCTCATGGGGGGATAGAGCAATGTGTAGCCTGCATAACTAAATAGTAAATTGCCCAGAGAGAGCTTTAAGCACTATGGGGCTGTATATGAGCAGTACACTTTTTGTATTTTTCCTTTTCTACTTCAAAATTAATGCATCTTCTGTTGTTATTTTTTCCTCAAGTGCACATTTATATACAGTGTATTTTACCTAACTTACAGTTCCCTCCATTGACTAAAGAATGCTTGTGCACATTTTTCCATGTGTACACATTTCCGTGCTTGCATTTTAAACTTGCACGTCATTTTGTGTGTACTTTGTTCCTCTGCAGTGCCTTATAAAGCTCACAAACTATTTGTTTCATTGTTACATTTGTACCTCCTCTTTTCTTCTAAGTAGCTGTCCTGGCCCTCCTCCTCTCTGCTTTATCCACAGAAAACTGGTCTGATGCTGGTCAGACTGAGAAGGTGCATTTGGCCCATGGCCGCCCAATGACTGCGATGCCCAAATCTGTGGGAATCTGAACCCAGATCTCTCTTTTTTAAAGTCCAAAGCTCTAACCACAATGCGTCTCATAACTGTGAGCCAAGCGGCTTGACGTGAGTCTTGAGGGGCACATATACTTCTATTTTTGTCAAGACTTTCCACCTGAACTTCTCATACATCCTAAATCTGCTGAAATTCCCTCTTCTTCACAACTGTAAAAGGTGCAAGGATGCTCCATTCTTTCGCTCCTCACCTCCCTAATCACACAAGTGTTTTGGTGTTGCGGGCATATGCAGAAGCAAACATTTTCCAGGCCTGGAACACCAGCCAACTTAGCTTGTGCGAGACGTGTTTTGAAGTATGTGTCCCCTTCTGCATGTTACAACGTTATGGGCCGTGCTGTCAGTGTTTCTGAATCAGTTTGCTTCCATCTGCTCACTGTACATTTGTAAACAAACATTTTTATGATAAAAGGCATCATAAATCTCAAGTACTTTCTATTCAGACCTCAGCCAACACAATGAAAAGTAGCTCTCAAACCTGCAACTGCTTTGGGATGTGGAAGGCATGAAATGGGTCAATGCCTGGACGGGAGGGGTGATGCTCCCGCCATAAGGAGACCAAAAGCTCTGCACTCAGTTCTCTTTGGGCTTCGCTGGGAGAAGGTATAGACATGGACTGCGAGAGACTGTGCGGGATTCAGCATCGGTCGTTCATGAATGGCCACATTCACACTTCCTCTGAGTTGATGAGTAAGCTGGAACTGTGCACAAAGCCTTGATTATACCTCGTTAGTGCCCACCAGGCTTAGCTTCTTGTCTTCTTCCTTGTCCTAGGGCCTCAAACTAGTCAATTGCGTGCAACAGCAAAGCATCGTGTAAATTAAGAATGAACCTGCGAGGACGGCTCGAGGAGAAAGGTAACATAGAGCTGACAGGGGGCATTGTGGGAGATTAAAATGGCAGCTCCCCAATGGAGAGGTGATGTTTAAATTTAAATGTCCCAGGACCCACCATATGTCACCACGGCACCCCCAAAGACAGAGGAAAATAGATACACAACTCTTGAAAAGAATCCAAAATAGAAGTGGCTGGATGACTGCTTCCAGGTTCAGAAGAGATTTTGAAAGGCAAAACAAAGCACAAGGTTTTGCTCCCTCAAGAAGCTTCTCAGGAGCAGGAATAAGGTTTCTTAGCAATGGAGGACGCACGCAGTTTGCAGGCCTCACTTTGTGAGCTAGTACAATCGAGTTTCCTTTGGCTGGCAGTCTTTTTCCTTTTTTAAGTACACGAATGAGAAATCTTGTTGAAAGTAAGCATAGCCAACAGAATAAGAAAAAAAATCACATCCCAGCAAAGAGGTTACCCTAAGCACCATTTCTGTCAGGAAGTTCAAGAAATATATCCCTATTCTCTCTTGGGGCAATGACAACACTGATTAATCTTGCAAAAATAGAATTACCTCTCTTTTCCGTGGTAATGACAGTGGCTTCCAAGGGCTGCCCCCAGCCCTGTCGGGTTTTGGCAGATGCTCGGAAAATGTAAGCTGACTCGGGGAGGAGATCTGTAGCCACAAATTGTCTGACTGTGGAGCCAACTTCCACCGTGGTGAACTTGTTCGGGCTCCTGGTTGCCAAGCGGTAGGCAATTTGATATCCTGGATTCAGAAGGAAGCACACACAGAGACAAAAAAAATTAGAGGATTGGTGGGTTTCGGTTTTTCTAGATTTTGTAGTGCAGGAAAAGTGCCAAAACTATTAGTGCATCCTAATTACTTACTTATTTGAAGGGAAAACAATGCAATTTGCTTTTTTAGGGGTTACCAGCTGAGCTGGAATAGCATCTCCCCAGCCTCAATTCTGAAGCAATGCATTATCTGGGAAATTACTGACTATGTGATGAATGGAAAAGGCCTTCCGAGCGATAATCCACCATGAAATTTGTTTCGCATTTCATTCTTTAAAAGAACGAGATACCAGAGCAGTTTCATCTTCCTGGAGCATATTGATGGGCTGTGGAAATGTGACAGATGCCAAAGAAAAGTATATACAGCTGAGTTGATTTTGACAAGGCAAGGCCAGCCAGAAATGTATCAGTCCAACATCTTGGCCACCTCACAAATGTGACCAGGAGGGCTGCGAGATAGAGTGGTGCTGCTGAGCATTTTTTCAAACAATGGATCCCATATTATTTTGAGACCAAACTCAATCAGAGGCCAAACTTTGCAAATGGAGAGGTGGCATCCTACTATTTCTTCATTGGGCCTTCGGTTGTACTATCACCAAGCTCGTATTTTTGGGTAGGATTGCAGCTGGCATCAGATCACAGGGAAATTTTTTCTCAAGAAGAAAAGATGATCCATGGGGAATGGCAGTGAAAAAGAGAATGTTATTTTATGCACCACCTCCTAAATAGTTATACACAATACTGTGGTGCCTCGCTTGACGATTACCTCATTAGATGAGGAAATCGCTTGACGATTAGTTTTTTGCGATCGCTACTGCGATCACTAAACGATGATTAAATGGTTTTTTTCCGTTTTACGACAATAGGTTCCCTGCTTTGGGAACTGATTTTTCGCTTAACGACGATCAAAAACAGCTAATCGTCAGGTTTAAAAATGCCCCCCGCTGTGCAAAATGGCTCCCCGCTGTGCTTTAGGATGGATTCCTCGCATTACAGGCACCCTAATGGCTGGATGCTGAGGTATTTCACCCACTGGAATGCATTGAACTGGTTTTCAATGCATTCCAATGGGCTTTTTCATTTTGCTTGACGAGGATTTTGCTTAACAGTGATTTGAACTGAATGAATTATCCTTGTCAAGCGAGGCATCACTGTATATCGGAACCATAAGAAGCACAACCCACAAGCAAACATCATTGTGATGAGCCATGGAGGTCCGCTGTCGAGTGGGAAGGAGACAGGCCAGCTCTGTTTCCCATATGCAAAACCAAACCTTCACTTCCACTGCCACTCTGCTTAAGATGTGTTCCCTTCTCTGCAGACCCAAAAAAGCACAGTTCCCTGAAACTTTAGCTGGTGCTTGGAGACTTGGCAACCTAACGCATAGAAAGAGGAAACCAAGGTGATACACGTAGCTCTGAATCTGTCTCAAAGTTTAGTGTCCCTTTCTTTCCTCCCCATGCCTGGTAAGACATCTCGCTTCATATGTTTATATATGTTCAAATATTTTTGATAGCAGCTGAAGATGTCACACAGATTTAGGAGAATAATAGACAATCTGACTTCTAGAGGCTCCACAACCTTCAGCAGATGTAAGAACTGCTCTGTGAGATGAGCCCAAAAGTCCACCTAGTCTAGCAGCTTGGCTTCAATGGTGGCCACCAAAGTAGAGCTCTCTTTTTGAGCTGCACCCCCACCCCGCCCTGAATGCACCAGGTAGCCTGTCCTTGCTGACAGATTCCAGGAGTTGCCAAGGGTCCGCAGGGAGGTGCTTCTGGAAAGCTGCCAAGGAGGACATAGAGGGCTCACAGTGCTTTAGACAGGAAGGTAAAAAGGGAAGCCAGTCGTGCAAACTGCCATTGCCCTTCAAGGGAAGAAACAACACTAAAAGCAGTGGTAATAACACTGGAAAACATTCTCCTTCAATTCCAGATATCCTCTGGTGGTCTCATGCCCAAGGGATGCAGACAATGGGGGGAAGAGTATATTTCCTCTTAGAAACATCACACCATCTGCTTCGCTCGGGGCTGACCTACCCCTTGGAATCAGCATTCAAGGTTCTCCTACTGCGCTTTTTCCATCTGAGATCTGCGGAGGGATGCCTTCCATAGGGCTTTCCAGAAGAGAACTTGGAAAAATGGCTTTCTTTCCAGCTACTGCTCCTAGCATTCCTCAGACAGCTCACCAGGTGAAGACCCCCACCCCACCCCCCAATGAAGGGGGTGCATCAGGTGCATTTTCCCTATTTATATTCAGATACAGTACTTGTTGAAGATACAGGATTGCTGTGTATATGGCATGCCTGTCTTGCTTGTTTTTGCCTCTAGTGTCCCTTTGGTTGGGCAGTTTCCTCCCATTCTGCTGCTTTTGGCTCTTCCACCTGCTGTTTTGGACCAAGTTCTCATCTTCTGCCACTTCCAATTGCTTTGGCTTTATGATGATTGCATATTTAGATTTTAATTGTTTGATTGCTCTTTTAATTTGGTACGCCACTTTGTGTGTCCTTGGAACAGACAGGCAGAATAAACATAATAAATTTAATGGAAATCCTTGATCTCGGGCACCTCTCTTTTTAAAAAGAAAGAACACCATGCACAAATAAACAATGGCTCTTGGAAATGAAACTCCCATAGACGCGGGCAGCTTTCAAGAAGATTCCAGTGAGGAAGGTCCTGTGGTACTTTCCAGAGTGACTGGAAAGGTTCCTGTGAAAGTCATGCTCTCTCTCACACCTCGTGCAGGACAATCCACACAGGGTGAAGGACATTTCATTCATTTCCTTGGTGCCCTCATAATCCAATTTTCCTTTCAGAATGGAATACAGGGCATAACATAATAAGATGCCATTTGTTCTCTCATGCAGGCAGCGGCCAGACTCAGATCCACTTGGCTTTATCAAGACAGCTGCATCATGTAGTGTAGATCATTCCCTGGGACAAGGGAGGGCGGATGGAGCCAGAGAGAAGCAGAAAATAATTTGACCTCCCTATAAACCTTTCCAATAGGTATTGCTGGGCACCCAGTCTATGTGAGCCATCCAAGGCTTCTTGTCCCCCGGATCAGGCACCAACTGTTCAAACTCTTCCTGCAACTGCTTGCCAACACACTGGGCTTGCCTTTTTCTGGAGCTTGAGACCCCCTGCCCAGTCCAGCTGCTAAACTCCAAAATCAATTTCTATCAGACATAGCAGGGAGGGCTTTGCTTGCAGCGAGCGCTGTTAAATGCTCCATCAAGTTACATGGCAGGGAGCACAGAGGAGGACTGCCAAATAAATTCAAAACAAAAGCATCTGAACGTGGTAGTGAAAGGCATCTGGTCGCCATCTCACCATCCTTCGAACTCCAAAGGCTTCTGCATAGATAGTCTTCTACTATTACCTCTCCAACCATTCTGGACAGCCACCAGGAAGAGGATGTGAAAACAATTGGGCAAGATCTATGGATGGAGAAAAGCACAAGGGTGCTGCTGACAGGAAGGCTAGGAGACTAGATGGAACACATTCATCTGCTGAACGGGGGCACAAAGTACCAGATGTATAAGCAAGGCAAGAGGGGGAGGGAGGCAAGGGGATTTGGGTACAGTGGGGTCTCGACTTACGAACGGCTCGACATACGAACGTTTCAACTTACGAACTGCTCTCATAGGAATATATGGACTCGACTTACGAACTTAGATTCGAGTTACGAACTCTTTTTTTCCCTTTTTTAAAAAGCTAAGTCATCTTAGGTTAAAAGGAAAAAAGAGAAAAATATCCCCCTCTAGTGGCAGAAGGTGGAATAGCAGCTTCCCATTAGTTTCTAAGGACGAAAAGAGCAGATACGGATTAAATGATTTTCAATGCATTCCTATGGGAAATGCAGATTCGACTTAAGAACTTTTCGACCTGAGAACTGCCTTCCAATACGGATTAAGTTCGTAAGTCGAGACCCCCTGTATATCTATATAGCCAGTTTGGTGCTTGCTATGAATCTGTTTGCGGTCTTTGGATTTTAATTGGCCAAAAATGTTGGTAACTGAGTGCAGAGTGGCTAGTGATGTTTTTACAGATAACCTGTCTTTTCCCTATGCATCATTTTCTTTTCGCCTACCATGGAGGATCTAAGATGATTTGCAACAGCTGAATGGGAAAGTGGCTGGTTCTTTTGTTTCTCCACTCATCGTGTCTTTGCAAGTCACATCTCATATACTTTGCTGCTCCTGAAATGCCAGAGGAAAGGCTGGTGTCTCACGGGTACTCAAATTGCAACAGACAAGATGTGAGAGTGAGCCCAGTTGCTGAGGCCCGTCGTGGAACAGGGATATACGGAGGCGAGAGATTAGAAGGGCCATACATTTTTTTTCAGACTTGGCTCCACACAATCGAGTAACTTGTTGTGCAGTTCTGCCACAGCAGCTGCACCACACACAGGTGCCAGGAGGAGCTCCGAGGTGATAGGCTTCAAACTGCTCGTCGGTAGATGTGCATGTGACTAAAAAATAAACAAGAACTGCTGGATAGCTCAACGGTTTAGGTCTTTGGCTGCATAGCCAGAGGCTGGGAGTTGGGTTCCCCCACTGAGGCTCCTTGACAGGGGCTCGGTGATCCAGACGGTTGTTTCCAGCTCTGCCCTTCTAAGATTAAGGGGCAAAGAGAAATCTGAACAATTTATCAGAAGGTCAGAAGTGGGTTTCATAAAACTGGAGGTGTCTCAAAAGCTCAGTCACTACTTACACATTAACGTTTTTTCACATACTTGCTCTAATTTACTTTGAGGGATCACTGCACAAGGCAACTTAAAAACATAAATGTTATGCACAGTAGAATGATGGAACATGCCTACCATAAGAACAGCAGAAATAAAAACAAAAAACAAATAAAAACCTGGGAATGTCCTTGAGTTTTCAGAAAGGGATAGGCAGGACCAAAGATCTGAGCTAACGTGAGCTTATTTTGCTAATACGAGGAGCACAGATCCCTGGAAATCTCCTTG